CCACCAAAAAGCCACCTGGCAACCAATCCCCCTACAGTGGAGTGTGCCAGTCAGTAAGCCCTGCCCCCATACTCCAATCCTCCAGACAGGTTTGTAGTGCTTCCCTTTTAAATAAAGATGGCCAAAGACCAGCAGAAATTGAGGAAAACTTTGTGAAAGGTAGATCCAAACAAAAAGCAACTCTCAAGAATTAGAAAAATTCCAAGAACTATAATATCCTCAGATAAAAGAAGATACTTGTATTTAAGAAACTAGAACAGGATACGACTAAAATGTCGTAACAAGAAATTAAAATATGAGTATAATGAGAATATTAAAAGAAGGAAATGTTCTAGAACAGAATCAAAAGTGAAGGGGAAGAAATACCTATCAATTCTGGAGGTTTAATATATAATCAACAGTAATTCCAGGAAGAGAAGTGAGAAAATAGGGGAGGATAGAATTTATTAGAAAATAAAATTTCCCTGATGAAATGATGAGTCTTAAGATTGACAAAAGGGGCTGGCCCCGTGGCCGAGTGGTTAAGTTCGCGCGCTCCGCTGCAGGCGGCCCAGTGTTTCATTGGTTCGAATCCTGGGCGCGGACAGGGCACTGCTCATCAAACCATGCTGAGGCAGCGTCCCACATACCACAACTAGAAGGACCCACAACTAAGAATATACAACTATGTACCGGGGGGCTTTGGGGAGAAAAAGGAAAAAATACAATCTTTAAAAAAAAAAAAGATTGACAAAAGGTTGCTAGTGGGGCTGGCCCCATGGTGGAGTGGTTGGGTTCGCGTGCTCCACTTCGGGGCCCCAGAGTTTTACCAGTTCAGATCCTGGGCGTGGACCTGGCACTGCTCATCAAGCCATGCTCAGGTAATGTCCCACATAGCAGAACCAGAAGGACCTACAACTAGAATATACAGCTATGTACTGGAGGGCTTTGGGGAGAAGAAGAAAGAGAGAGAGAAAAAAAAGATTGGCAACAGATGTTAGTTCAGGTGCCAATCTTTAAAAAAACATGTTACGTAAAAAAGAATAAGAAAAAAAGGCTGTTAGTGAATTAGCACAATAAATATAAAAGACCCATACGAAGACATACCACCATGACATTTTAGGACACTAGACATAAGAATATTCTGAAATTTACCAGATAGCAAAAGGATTGAGAATAATACTCAGTAGCAACATTGGAAACCAGGGGTCGATGGAATACTGTCCTCAGAAGTTTGAATTGTATATCCAACTGTACTGTCATGTATGGCAGCAGAATAAAGGCATTTTTAGATATGCAAGTTCTCAAAAGATTTTCTTCCTTTCACTGGTTCTCAGCTCCTGGATATACTCCATCAAAACGAGAGTAAATCAAGAAAAAAATATGATGTAGTGTCTAGAAACGGGATCCAAAACAGGAGTGAGATAAAGGGAAGTCCCAGGATAAGAGCTGTGAAGTGACCGGGCAGCCAGGCAGACTGATGGTCGGAGGGCTAGACCTGATTATCTGACAGGTTGGACCATGCAGATAATTGTGTGAGGAGACATTTTACAGAGCTGTAGAGGATGTGAGAAGACTTAAATGCTGGAAGAAAATCAGGCAAATGAAAAGGGGCAATTGTCAGGAGAAGCATTGCATGAGGAAGAAAAAGTTCCTTCTTGAGAAGTGCATGCACTAAAATAATATTAGAGAAGTTTTCCTGAATTATATTCATAAATATTTGTGCTATGTCCATTTCGGTTTTCTTTGGCAACTCCAGTTGTATGTGGGATCTTCTCTGCCTATCATCTGTTTCTATGATTTGTTCTTAATTCCTTTTATTTTTATTTTTTTTACTTTTCTCATTTCTGAACTCTCTCCATTATCATACTTCCCTGTGGTATCCAGACTTGCTTTGATCCTTTTAATTTAGTCTTCATTTCTGAGATGGTTTTGTCTTTTTCTGTTTCCTAAGTTCTACCAGTTTCACTTCAGGGACATCTCTTCCCTGAATTCTTGTATTTCTCAGCTGCATTATATTTTAAAAATTCTTGTTGGAATCTTGGTTTATTATTTTCAGTTGCTTTGTGGAAACATTTTTCTTGGGAGTTTTCTCCAGGGAAACTCTAGGTAAGTTTTGCTACTCCTATTTTTAGAGTGTTATTGTACAAATGCCATGCTTATTCCTTTCTGTTTGTTTATATTTGAAACAGTTGGATTTTGCTAGACCAAGTACCAGCAGGAGGATGGAGGGGAGGGACTCTCTCCAGGTTTCTCATCTCTCTGGCTACAGTGAATACTCTACTTAGAAGTATAGCATGAGTTCTCTCTCTTGGAATGTAACTTTGTTCAGAAGGGATTCTGTGCCAGCTCTGAGCTCCCTTGGTTCTTTACTCTGTTCATTAAGGGATCTTGTCCCTGTCTTTTGAGAAGATCCTCGGGGCCGGCCTGGTGGCACAGCGGTTAAGTATATTCTGCTTCTTGGCGGCCTGAGATTCGCCAGTTTGGATCCCGGGTGTGGACATGGCACCACTTGGCACGCCATGCTGTGGCAGGCGTCCCACATATAAAGTAGAGGAAGATGGGCACGGATGTTAGCTCAGGGCCAGGCTTGCTCAGCAAAAAAAAAGAGGAGGACTGGCAGTAGTTAGCTCAGGGCTAATCTTCCTCAAAAAAAAAAAGAAGAAGATCCTCTAACTTGCTTTCTGAAAGATGTCACCTCTGGACCTCCTAGTCACTTCTCACACCTTCCTTCCCTGCCTCCCCCAGTGCTCACACAGTTGTTCAGGCCTTCTCACAGCAGGCTCCACTCAGGGTTTGGCTGTGTTCTCAGAGTGAATATTGAATTGAATATTTGATGGTGATTTCTGCGATCTGCCACCACCATCCCCTCCTCACCCTCTGTTCTTCCCCAACTGCACTCTGTTGGCCTCCCCTCCAGTACCACCCTTCCACTCAATGTGGAATTTGTAAGTTTTCTGTGCCTCCCTGGTTTCACTCAAGATACTGTTTGTGGAGGTGAGTGGTCATATATTTTCTTTGTTGCTCTCTAGTGGTTTCCAGAAGGAGAAGTGAAAAGATCCAGAACCAGGCTGCAAATGCTTTTACCAGAGTCAAAAGCCCAAGGAATCTTTTAAACATGTAAATCTGATCATGACACTCCCGTGCGTGAAAGGCTTTGTTTGCTTCAAATTGCATTTAGGATGTAATCGAAAATCTTTAATATGGCCTGCAGTGCCTTCTAAAGTGTAATCTTTACTTATGCAACTTCACAGGAGGCCACCCCACTCTCCCAGAAGCCCTTCCACTCCACACTCATCTTTCAGTTTCTTGAGGAAGTAAACACTTTATATCAGTGAGGATCCACTCAGGAGACAGACCAACACAAAAATTTGAAAAGGGAAATTTTAACATGAATAGTTGTTAAATAAGGTGGTTCACTACCAAAAGGGGTAAAACAAGGACTCAAAGGGATCCAGAAGTGGCAGGTGCAAAAAAAATAAAGCATCTACTACTTAGGGAGAGAGTGGACAATGAAGGAACTAAGGGTTTAGGAGAGCCCTGCCTGAGACTCTGACCTCTCCAAAGAGGGCTTGATTACCACAGGAACACTGCCTGCTGAAGACACGTGACAGAGGGCCAGAAGTGGTCCCTAGAAGCCACCTACCATTGCCAGAGAGCATGGGCAGGCTGGAGATGGTCTATAGAAATGGTCCACCATGTGGGGGCAGACAGCTGGAGTTGCCAGATTTAGCAAATAAGAACCCCAAATATTGCATGGAACATACATAGACTAAAAATTACTTGTTTAACTGAAATTCAAATTTAACTGGGTATCCTGTATTTTATCCATCAGTCCTAGAGACAGTTGCAGGCTGGTGTTATGAAAGCTGCCATGGTCTCAGCTGCAGGTGGGGAGAGTGGCTTGAGGTGTAGCTGGAGCAGGTCCCAAGGACTGCTGAGGGGAGTGCCACTGGGTCTTCTGTACAGTGATCCACTGGCTCCTGCACTGAATAAAAAGAAGAGAGGGGCCTGCCTGGTGGCAGAGTGGTTAAGTTTGCCTGCTCCACTTTGGGCAGCCTGGGGTTCACAGGTTCAGATCCTGGGCGCAGACCTAGCACCACTCATCAAGCCACACTGTGGCGGCGTCCCATATAAAGTAGAGGAAGATTGGCACAGATGTTAGTTCAGGGCCAGTCTTCCTCTTAAAAAAAAGAGAAGAGAACCAGAACCCATAAGGGAAGTGCCTTCCCACCACTATGCATTGTTCCCCCAGTGCCCTCTATTGACAAAGTCTAACACTGAAGCAACTGGCAAAGGAGAAATGTTTCACAAAGCAAGGTGGATTGGGGACAGAGACTCCACTCCCATCGCAGGGCCTTGTCACGTGAATGCCTTTTGCCTGATCTTTTTCTTCAAGTTTCCACTTAAATGTCACTTCCTCCAAAAGGCCCTCCTTTCTTACCCAACAATCTAAATCAGTAGCCTCTCAAACCATCTTATACTTTTCCTTTATAGCATTTGTCACAATTTTTAATTATGTATTTGTGTGATTATATCTTTAAAACCTGTTCCCCACTAAACTAGAAGCTGGTGACTGTTTTCTTCAATGCTGTATATATCCAGTACATGGGAAATGAGGTGCTCAATAAATGTTTGTTCAATGAATGAATGAATGAATGTTTGTCTCAAACAATCTGGCTTTTGCTCAGATGGCTTTCTGCCATGTGCTGATAGTACAGCCAGCTAGAGTGCTGGGTGTGTAGGGTGATAAGAGCTAAAACTGAAGTATCAAATCATGGCCAATTCTTTATGCCATGCCAAGTACCTTGAACTTTTTTATCCTAAACATTCTAGAGAGCCGTTGATCTAATTTGTGTTTACCCAGGCTGTCTTCCAGGTTCCTGGCTTGAGCAGCTAAATGGGTGGTGAGAAAAGTTAGAGGAGCAGTCTGTGAGGGTGAGCAAGGATAGACACTTGTTAGGGGGCAGGAATTGAAAGCTGATGAGTTCCATCTTTCAAAATGTGGAGCTTATGGGGCCGGCCCAGTGGCGCAGTGGTTAGGTGCACACATTCCGCTTTGGCAGCCTGGGGTTTGTCAGTTCAGATCCCGGGTGTGGACGTGGTCCCGCTTGGCAAGCCATGCTGTGGCAGGGGTCACACATAAAGTAGAGGAAGGTGGGCATGGATTTAGTTCAGGGCCAGTCTTCCTCAGCAAAAAGAGGAGGATTGGCTGCAGATGTTAGCTCAGAGCTAATCTTCCAAAAAAAAAAAGACTACAAAATGTGGAGGTTGGCCATGTGTGACATTCAGGTAGAAATACCCAGTAGTTAATGATAAGGAACTTAGAAGGGAGATCCAGGCTGAACAGAGAGATGGAAGTCTTCTGCATTTCTAGTTCAACCCATGGGGTGGAAATCACCCAGGGAGAGGCAGAGAAGTGTGCAAAGGAGAATGCAAAAGAGCTGCCTGACCAGTGGGAGGAATTACCGAGGCTCCATGATGAAATCAAAGAGGAAAAAATACACGGAAATAGAAGTAGTGAAGGGTGTCAAATACTGCAGAGAGGAAAAATACAAGAAATGGAAAAAAAGTCCACTAAATTTAGCAATAAGGACATAATTGGTGGCTTTAAAGTGAGCATTTTCAGTGCAGTGGTGGGAGCAAAATGTGGATTACAGTGAGTGAAGGAGTGGGAGGTGAGGACAGTTAGCTAGTGCAGACTGCCTTGTCGGGTCATTTGGCTGTAGAGAGAAGGAAGAAGAAAGGAGATGGGTTTAAAGAAGCAATAATTTTTTAAAATCTCAATACAGTAAACTATGAATAAACCACAAAAGGAAACGACCACCATGAAAACAACCCCAGCCTTCAACCATTCAGAAATACAAAACAAAAGACATTCATCTCCTTTTTATATAAAAAGTAAATTGGGAGTACAGTCGAAGAATGAGTTTTTGTGCATGTGTATACTGTTTCTCACATATGTAGAAATTGAAGGATGGGTTAAAGAAATGTGAATTGTAAAAATTGTATTCTGTGTTGTTATATTGCCCTCTTAAAAGGCGATACCATTTTACACTCCAACCAGTAATATCAGAAAGCACTCATTTCCCCCTGCTTTTACTAATGCTGATTGTTGCTAAGCTTTTATTTTTGCCAAACTGATATGTGTAAAATGATCTCTTTAATTGTATTTTCCTGATTGCAAGTAAAGTTAATCACTTTTTCCTATGATAATTGGGTGTTTGCATTTCTTTCTTGTGACATGTCTGTTCATACTCTTTGTCCATTTCTTGATTAGATTGATTATTTTTATCAATCAGAAGGAATCTCCTGTGTAGGGTTTTTTGTTTTTTGTGTTTTTTTTGGTGAGGAAGATTGTCCCTGAGCTAACATCTGTGCCAATCTTCCTGTATTTTGTATGTGGGACGCCACCACAGCAGGGCTTGATGAGCAGTGTGTAGGTTGTACTAAGGATCCAAATCCACAAACCCCAGGCTGCTGAAGTGGAGCGCACAAACTCAACCACTATATCACCAGGCCAGCCCCAGGAATCCCTTATGTAGTTTGGATACCCACAAATCCTCTCTGGAAGAACGTATCCTCCACCCAGGCCCCTCAGGATTACCTCAAATTAAAGTCATCAACTGGAGCTCACAATAAAAAACTATCAGGGACCAGCCACATGGCCTAGTGGTTGAATTCAGCATGCTCTGCTTCAGCGGCCCAGGTTTGGTTCCCGGTCGCAGACCTCCACCACTCATTGGTGGCCATGCTGAGGCGGCATCCCACATAGCACAACCAGAGGCACAACTAGAATACACAACTATGTACTGGGGGACTCTGGGGAGAAGAAGAAAGGGGAAAAAAAGGGAAGCTTGGCAACAGTTGTTAGCTCAGGTGCCAGTCTTTACCAAAAAAAATACAATAGCTAAAAGAAAAAATTCAATGAACTGGCTAAACAACCAAATTAGATACAGCTGATGGAATCTGTAAATTGGAACACTACAAAGGATAGAAAATGAAGACAGCATGGAGAATAGAATAAGTCTAAAATATACTTAAACTGGAGTTCCATAAAGAGAAAACAATGTGAGATGGGCAATATTCAACGAGATAATGCTTCAGAGAGAATGGACTATCACTAAAAAAAACAGTAGAGCATGTAACTTCCAAAATGAGAAGAGGCAATAAAAAAAGAAGTCCAAACGAATGCAAAAAAAGGAACGCAGAGAAAGCCAGATATAAACAAATCACAAAATGAGACAGTAGAAATAATTCCAAATAGATTGGTAAGCACAATATATCAAATATCCATAGCTGATATTTAAGCTAATAAATTTTAAAAGATTGGATTTTCAAAATCTAGATAGATGTGCTACTCTTAAGTAACATCTAAAACAAAAGTACACAGAAAAATACATACCAGGAAACCATAAACAACGCTGATGTGGCCAAATTAATGGCAAACAAAATACGCACCTTTTCTCAAGTACATATGGAATACTGAAGACAATAATTGGTTTGAAAAGATCATAGGGGCTGGAAGGGTGAGGGAAGTTGAAAGATAATTACTGCCAATTGTCAAAAATCAAAGAACTGTGAGTATTTGTTCTACTGTGCAAATAGCACACAAATTCTTTTTGATTGAAAATGCCTTTACGTATCAGGAGCTATTCTTTGTATATTAACAGATGGATAAAGCAGAGTTTCCATCAGACAAAGAAAAAAAAAGTAGCTTATCATGTTTTCTGGCCATAAAAAAGGTTAGAAATCAGTAACAAAAATTTGTAGAAATTCCAAAATATGTGTGTGAATAACTTATGGGTCAAAGAAGTGCCATAGTGGAAATTTTTAAATATTTAAAGAAAATAATACATATCAAAACTTGTGGAATGCAGGTAAAATGGCACCTTGAAAATAATGTGTAACCTTAAATGCTTATATTAGAAAAGAAGAGCTAAAAATTAATGAGCTCCGTGTCCTGCGTAAGAAGTTAGAAGAGGGGCTGGCCCGGTGGCCAAGGGGTTAAGTTTGCGCGCTCCACTTTGGCAGCCCAGGGTTTCACGGGTTCAGATCCTGGGTGCGGACATGGCACCACTCATCAGGCCATGCTGAGGGGGCATCATGCATGCCACAACTAGAGGGACCCACAACTAGAATATACAACTATGAACTTGGGGGAATTGGGGAGAAAAAGCAAAAAAGAAAAGGAAGATTGGCAACAGTTGTTAGCTCAGGTGCCAATCTTTAAAAAAAAAAAGGAACAATAAAGAAACAATAAAGATAGCAGGAAAAATTAATATAATTGAAAGCAAAGATATAGTAAACCAGCTCAAACAAGCCAAAAAGTTTGTTCTTTTGAAAAGATTAATAAACTACCTAACATCGTGGTGAAATTTTTTTTGCGGGGGGTGGAGATTAGCCCTGAGCTAACATCTGCTGCTAATCCTCCTCTTTTTGCTGAGGAAGACTGGCCGTGAGCTAACATCTGTGCCCATCTTCCTCTACTTTATATGTGGGATGCCCACCACAGCATGGTGTGCCAAGCGGTACCATGTCCGCACCCGGGATCCGAACCGGCAAACCCTGGGCCGCCAAAGTGGAACATGCGCACTTAACCGCTGCATCACCGGGCCGGCCCCCATCGTGGTGAAATTGATGAAGAAAAAAGAGAACAACAAAAAAAAAGAATAAAAGAGGGACTTTTACTATAAGATACAGTCAAGATTTTAAAAAATAATGAGGAAACTTAAATGCATATTACTAAGTGAAAGCAGTCAATCTGAAAAGGCTACATACTGTGTGATTCCAAGTATATGACATTCTGGAAAAGGCAAAACTGTGGAGACAGTAAAAGGATCAGTGGTTGCCAGGAGTTAGGAGTGAGAGAGGGATGAACAGGCAGAGCACAGAGGATTTTTAGGGGAGTGAAACTATTCTCTATGATACCATAATAGTGGATACGTGTTACTACACATTTGTCAAAACCCATAGAATGTACAACACCAAGAGTGAGCTCTAGTGTAAACTATGGACTTTGAGTGATAATGATGGGTCACTGTAGGTTCATCAATTGTAACAAATGTCCCATGCAGTGCAGGATGTCAACAGTGAGAAAGGTGGTATCGAGGGATAGGGAGTATGGGGGCACTGTCTGTACGTTCTGCTCAATTTTTATGTAAACCTAAAACTGTTCTAAAAAGCAAAGTTTATGAATTAAAAAAAAAGATAATTCCAAGAAGAAATAGGAGACCTCAATAGTCTAATAACCATGAAAGAACTCAAAGCAGTAGTTAAAAATCTGGATAGCAAAAAAACAAAACCACCACTTCCCCAAAAGCAGGCACAAATAGCTTTAGAGGTGAACTCTACCAAACACTCTACAATGAATGAAGGATTTAATCAATAAAACAATACAAACTCTTCCTGAGAATAGGAGAGAATAATCTCAAACTTATTTTATAAGGACTGAAATTCTTGAAACCAAAACAGACAAGTAGGAGAAAGGAAAAATCATAAGCCCAGCTTCACTAAGGAATAACTTGATGGCATCTGTTGGGAGTCCAAAAAAATGAGTGAAAGTGACCTGAGATATTTCTGGGCAGAAACTCTAAAGAGCCAGCATGTCTTTGCCATGGTTGCCAGCAGTGTTCCAGATGGGGGGTATTCTGCCAGCCTGGGTGCTGGAGCTGGAGGAAGATGATAATGCAGGACGAAGGCCCCAGCTGATCGAAGGTTGTTGACCCTAAACATTGAGGCATGTTGTTTCAAGCCACATAGATTTGAGGGTTGTTTGTCACTGTTAGAGTCCAGCCTATCTTGATTGATACAGCTGCATGGAATACTTTACAGTCAGACCAGAATGAGGTACAACTACATATACTGACTTAGAACCATGATATATTATATTAAGTAAAAAAAGCAAGTTGCAGAAAAAATGTAGCATTTATCTTTGAAAGTAACAGAGGGGGGCCAGTCCCGTGGCCGAGGGGTTAAAGTTCCATGCCCTTTGCTTCAGCGGCCTGTGAGAATTCAGTACGATGGCAGAGGAAAAGATATTAACATACTGAAAATTAACATACCCTATTTATTTGTGTTTTTGGATTCCCATGTTTTATTATTGATTTCTAACTTAATTTATGATCAGAAAACATGATA